GTTAAGTTTAGGCAACAAAACTACAGACAGTTAAGTTTAGGCAACAATATTGATTAGAGATAAATGTGAGATAAATGTGATTTGAAACATGGGAGTCGTTCTCATCTGGTTTCTCCTCTCACGCGATCCACCATTTCAAATAGTGGCCGGTTTGATTCCTGGCAGCGAACCTCTCTGAGGTCACGTATCCTCGGCTGTGGCAGAGAGCCAGCGTACGAGCCAACACGGAGTCAGGTGAGAGTCTGTACTTACTCCAGAGGTACAATGGAGAGGCCTACAGAAGGTCTGTGAGGTGAACACGAGTCAGGCTGGATTAGTTCAAGCAAAGATGGTAAAACCAAGGTACCAAGGAGGCGAGACGAGAGGAAACAAAGGAAGAACTTTTCAACACATCAGACCGACATTTCCATCTATGTCGGAGTTGAGATTTCTTCATTTAAATGAATGCATATTTCTGTGAGTTTTGTCTCCTTGTGGTTCATTTTCATGGATACAGTTCAGAGTTATTCTTTAGTATCTTGTGTTATTTCTTGACTGAGTGACCATTCTGACTATAGTAAAGTCAAACATACCATGATTTTTACAGTCGGTTAAACACACACCAGGTTAGATTGGTTAACGGTTACCTGACTCTTGTCGTGTGAGAATGTTACCGGACATCTTCATCACGTGACAGAGACGGCGGTTAATTTATTCGCCAACTTCAATCTCCTCTATTATCACTAAAAACCAAAACCATCGCCCTCTTGGCCACAAGGCTCGTTTTTGGCAAAATTAAGCTACAGTGTGACTGGATTTAGTGTGTGTGTGTATGCGCCGCTGCTTACTGTTGCCATGACAACAGCCGCTTGCCGACAGGATATATTGATTTGGCAGCCCGCCCGCCAGCCAGCCCCCCCCACAAAGGTGCTCGCCAACTTGTTTCATTTGGTCTCCGCTCCACCCGCCGACGGATTATTTGTCTCGATTTTGCATAGTTGTGAACAAAGTGAGGATCGTTTTCACAGATAACATTAACAAAATGTAATGTTTAAAGCATCAGGACCCCCAAACCGGCTGTAGATACTATATGGAGGTTCATTATAGGGTGTCAGAACACACATTAACAATGATTGATGAGTCAATGGATTAGTTGTTAACTAATTAAATCAGCAACTACTCTGATGACACATTCTCAGGCTCCAGCTTCTCAAATGTGAGTTTCAATTGTAGACGTCATTTAGGCATTTTCCCCCTTATTTCTAACATTTTATAAAATGTTAGAAATGAAAATGAATCTTCCTGTCATTTTATAAACTAAATGATTGATTGATTAAAAATGTGCCAATAGACTGCTAATGAAAACAGACAGTTACTACTCTACACATGTATCTATAAATAATGCATCGGTGAGTTATTCAGCTACCAATTCCTGAGTATAAATCTATAATTACACACAAAGAAAGTCTGTGAAATGATTCATATTACACAATGTGTCGGCATACGGCGGGTTCAAGTAATGGCACGTTTGTGTGGGCCGCTGTCTTTCTCCCCTCAGGTCATCACTGTGCAAATCACCTGGAACCCTCTGAATAGGGACCTGTCAGGGAATACCTTGCTTAAGGACACGTAAGCAGAACAAACCATAAAAGTTTGTGTACAGGTTAAAGATCCACTTAAGACAAAATTCCTCCAAAATGCCTATAGATGCACGCCGATTACTCAAACCCAACGTTCGCTACGCTTCTCGCTCTCCTGTCACTTTATGTTGTGTAACACAAAAATGTAAAAAGTAGTCATTGGGGAATCCGTTTGCAGGGAGGTCTGTGGATCACTCAGAGTAAAGCGTAGTTTATACTCGACATAGTGAAGCCGGCGCGAGGCGATCACTATTTACATGACTGGAGAACTTACAAAGAAGGAAAATTTGTTTTCAGAGGTCTTAAAATTCATATTCAACTTTGCTTCTTTATAATACATTTAATACTTAACTTGTTTCTTCACAGGGTTTGTATGAAGGCAATAAAGTATTCCATGAATATGAGACATTAGTTTACAGATGATTATAATCTCTCATCATTGTGGAAGTTGGTTTATGACTTTTTGCCGGTTAAATCTACAGTCTATGAGCGTATCTATGAGTTACACTCGTTGTCTTTTTGATTTTTCACACTTCGTTTTGTTTCGGAGAATAATGCAACGAACAGCTCAACAGAGTGTAAACGCCTCCGTTCATGCCATTCACCTCGTCTGTATTCGGCCGGTTGAATAAAGACTCAAGGGGCAGATATTTTAAAACCTCAACATTAAATCAGAGACGGCTAGATCGGTGGGAATCTATGTTTTTTTGTTTGTTTGTTATTTAGTTGAACCCATCTTTGGTCAACGTACACACATTCCATGACAGATACACATCATCATATCCGTCTTGTGTGTGATTTAACTTACTTGGAGATCCTGTCCATGTTTGCGATTTGTTTCTGGTTGCGGACGACCTCGATGGCCGCCCACACATACTGGACCACCTTGGGGTCCGCCAGCCTCTTCTTCACCACGCGTGACATGATTTCCTTATTCATCTTAACTGTGTGGACAACGGAAAAATAAATAAATCAGCAGACGTAATTGTGTTACCAAAATACAGACATGGGAGGCCACAGTACCACCGATTAAAGAATACCAGTGGTACCGTTTATACTGGTGATGTAACAGCTGAGGTTATGGCCTAAACATGACAGCAGTGTCACTCGTGGTAGTAATATTGGTTGTGGGAGTAGTTGTGTTTCTTTGTAAGCAAATCTCGCTACCCTGCAAGAGATCGTCCATAAGACCAATCAGCAATACTGAACATGATAATATGTCTTACATAGGCAATAATCCCATTAAATAATTGAACTATGTTCGTCGTGTTGCCCAGAACGGTCATACAAATGAGTTTATAGTTAGATTTTAAAGAACAAGGTGCTCGTTATTAATTTAGAGCGCACAAATAATCCACATATATCTCAACATGAATATGAAATATTGTTCTCACAATGAAGTCCGTAACAAGTGAAGATGCTTTAACGTGAACGTACGGCTTATCAGCCAAGATCGAACATTGTCCAAATTATATTTTACAGGCAAATATAACGAGGACAAACTTTTCACAGAATTGCCATTTCTTTACTAATTGAAGAAAAAGAATCACACGGGACTGTCTTCAAAAGACATTACTGACCGTTAAGCATGATGGAGGAGGATTCGGCCATTTGACAGTTCGTCATTTCATACGTACAAGCTCTTTTGTCATTTTCCAAATATTCAGACTGCCTGCAATGCTGAACATCAAAATACGTCTTACGTGTGCAACATGCACATTGAATAATCAAACCAATGTTCTCTGTGTTGCATTAAAAAGTCATAATAATATGAGAGACACGAAAACTACAGTTTCATGAAATCAATCTTAAACCGTTGCATATTGCATTTTATTGTAAACAAACAGTATTTGTGCTGTTGATTATTAGATATTATATAGTTATAGATAGCACAAATACCCCAACATATCACAATATCATAACATTATGAATCCACACAAGCATGGCAACGGTAATATTAACAACATAACAGTATAAACGCTATGCAAACAACAATATGTGTTCCGACATAAATTTAGAATCCGGCTAAAGCGTCCAATCCAAACACCATTTATATAAACATGCGTACATGTAAGCCATCTACCTCCTGAAGAGCATTGATTACATATCAGACATGAATATATATCATGTCTTGTTCTCATTCTTAACAGGACATTTCCAAACCATCAAAACAAATACAGTAGTGTGGTGCTGGACGCCCAGAACATGTCAGAGGGAATATGACTCTTAAGAGACCTTCAAAGGTTTGGAATAATACCGGCTGGCTCTTAACTGTGATGAACAGGCCTGGCCTTCTCCGAATATCTTCAAATCCAATTTTATGCGGTCCTCCTCTTAACCGTCCGTGAAACTTAAAATGTCACTTTCGTAAATCGCAGCCAAAAGCTAACCATAATAATGCCGGGAGCATATTTATGTGAAGGAGGAGGCTTAGCTTCAGTGCACTTTGTGTGAGAAGAGGCTGCGACAGATGTCAGGGGAGGATGTTTCATCTCCACACTTTTCTCATCCGAGTACAAAGTGTGGTTCAGGGTGAAATAAAAAACATGTAAGAAACACATTTGGTGTTGAGAGCAAATAAGCAAATCATGCAACGCGACTATCAACACAAAACAGGTGGACACTGGCAGCAAACAGGCAACATATCTCATGTGGCCTGTTGGTTGATGCTTTGGTTGTGGTCAGAGCGAAGGATTATTGAGTTGGATTGTTGTGGGATAATCATCTCTTTGAACATAGTATTTTATATTTTTACAGACTGGATCTGAGCCCGGGTTTAAGTACACAGATGCAAGCCTGATGCCTCTGATATTAAAGTTACATGTTAGGTTCACCTGAAGCACTCATTGTCAACATCTGGATTCCTTTAGGCCTAAATATGACAGAATCATCCATCTCTATTAGATGTCTTATTCGATGTGTTTAATGGTTAAACATTAAATTGTTTCTTTGAGAATTTAACACATAAGATGAAACAGCGTGCTGGAAAAGTGCACAAATCGGGAAGAAGACAACACTTTTCAAACTACAAATTCGGGATGTGCTAAATTAATTCATTCCAGCCACACTGAATGCAACAATAGTCTCCAGGAGGAAAAACTGATTTATTTTTTGTGTTTATTATTTATGAAAATTGTTAAATTTAAGCTTTTCCTCCGTCTGTCCAAGGTAATGGCAACAGTGTACAAACATTGTGATATTAACGTCAATGTGTACATTATACTACGCAGAACTAGGAGATGAGGTGGATCAACTTTTTTTTTTTAATGGTTTAAAATTGGTTTAAAAACGTCACAGCACTCCTGGGTGTGAGAGCCAAGGTGAGACGTTGAAAAATCAGGTAGTTGAGTAGACTTCACAGCGTCACAACAGAGCAGCAAGGTGAGTAATGTGAGCTCCCCTATTCTGTGTCAAGGGCAGCAGGCGTGAAGGAGGGCCACCTGTGCCATGCTGCCATGGCAGCATGGCCACTCCGGCCTGCATGCATGCAACACAGTCACCTCCTACACCTCTGTCTCCAGAGAGCTCACACAAGACGATGACAGAACGGCGCCAACGAGCTCCCCAATCAATTAGGCAAGGTGTGCGACACCGGAGGGGCAATTAGGGAGACACGGGTTTGTGGCTCCCATGGGGGGTAAAACAGTAAGACTACACAGCGCTGAAAAACAACCAACAGCTCCTCCAAACGTGACTCCACATCAAGAACGATCCCTGATAGTTATCGTATGAATTAAATCAACCATGAGAGTCACAGTGTTGAGATGTTTTAGGTTGACTCCCGTTAGCCAGCTAGTAGCTAATAGCATCCACATTGGCACTGACTGAGCACACCAAATGGGCTTTTCTATGGAAGATAATCTGGGTTATCACACTGTAGTTCAACACTTAACAATACATCTCGTTATTAGCTGTCACAGTTAAAACCACTCGTAGATTTGGTAAACAAAGAGGGTTGGCCGTGGAAGGCCACGGGCTCTAGCTAACGTTACTTAGCATGCTAGCTAACGACCAAACCAAAGCCTATCAAGACAAAATTTCCGATTTAACTCGCACTAAATAACTTAAACCAGACAATGTACATTCCTTATGTATTGCATGAGAACATAACCCCCCCGAACAAGCACGTACAAGTAATGGTTGGTCTGTAGGTGAGTTAATTTTAGTTAGCGATGCTAGCATAAACTGTTACGTAGCTTACCTTTAGCTGGGTGGTTGATAAACTTAAGCTAGATAACATTTACAATCAAAACGACAACGCTAGTAGTATTCCGGGTACACCTGAAGCTCTGTCCGCCGTCACCAAAACTGCGAAACACAGTAAGCTAGCTTAGCTACCTACTCGTTTGTTTTGGAGGGCGCCATGTTAGGAAAGGCAGCTAACGGCTAAGCTAACGGCGCTAGCTGCAGTGTTGTCACTGAGCGTGTGCCGTTAAAAGCTCACCTTTGCTTACAGTGTCACCAACACACAGCTGCTGCAGGGAATCCGCGAAGCATCGAAGGCGAGGCGGCTCACATTAGTGTTGTTCCTGCCTGGTTGTTGAGAGGTTGTGGATGGTGGTTTTTGTGTCTAGCTGGCCACAGTACTGTGAAGGTAAACACAGACAACAGCGCCAGCGGAGCGGAGCGGAGCTGGTGAGGGGAGAACTCTAGCGGTGGAATCCAGTACTGCATCACACGCCGCTAAATTACTAAATACTGCTATGGCGGCTGGAGGTAAGACCCGCCCTACTCCGCCTCTGATTGGCTAGTAAGTGTTGCTAAGAAATCTGTGCATTATAAATACACTGTGCAACACAACAATCATTCTGTCTGTATATATAATATTTTAGTTATTGTGGATTCTTTTTGTCTTGCTCTAAATGGTGTTTGGTAATCAGTGGAAACAATATGTACTTGGTTCACCTTTATGCACGGCGAAGCAAATAAAAATAATTGTCATTCTACAAACGAAGAACGTGTTTGTAGATTTTGTACTTAACTCAAAACACATTAAATGGTAGTACATGGTCGGCTAACAACCAGCGCATCGACCAGGTCACACCTTGGAAAGACATCTTTACAGCTTACAGTAGTAGACTGGAGTCGCTTTAACATATATAATATAATATAATATATAATATCAAGATGGAGAACTTTACTACTTTGACCACGGCAGCGCATACCAGATCCCCTCTCTCCGTCCTTACCTTTCACAATAAAAGCCCTGGACATATAGCCTACACTGCGTAACTGTTTATCAGAGGGAACTCGTATTCAATCAAAGAACTTTGCGAAAAGATAACCCAATAAATTAGCATACAGTAGCGTAGGCTATAGAACTGTTTACTGTTTTTTACTGTTTAACAGTTTAGTTTCATGTAAAGGTGGGAGACACATATCGACAAGGAAAACATTTTCTACACAACACCGGGAGTCATCAACCACGATTATTACAGGGGCAGTGCTGCAATTTTACAAGTCAAAGTCAATTTATTAGGATAATAAATGATCCTTGATGACAGTTGGACAATAATGCAATGGTGTAGAGTGCAAAAAACATGTAATAGGTTGGGTTTATAGACAGTAAGTGAGGTAGGTGGATATGACAGCATATATACAGTCATATAGAGAGTGCTACTGTGACATTACAAGCACATATAAAAAGTACTGATGTTTGCTATGTTTGTTTCCCTTTAAGGAAATAAATCAGGTGAAGAAATTATGCAACAATCCACTCTGTGACAAGCATAAAGACAAAATGAGCAATAAGGAAAAAAAGAACGCACTGTCCCTTTTATAAGTTCTGTCTATTTGAGTTTACATAACTCAGCAGTGTTTCCAGATGAATCCAGGTACACTCCTACTCTGGAGGACTGAGGACCTGAGATGGGAGTTTGGACACCGTTGTATCAAAATGTATAACTGTTTTTGTCACATGTTAATGCCCAAGATTTGTTATTTAGTCCAAATACACATTCAGTTGAGCTCCCAGTCCCGCTGATATTCTTGTATGCGACTGCCACATAAACGTTATCTCCTCTCCACTCCACCTCCCAGTAACAGCGTCCAGTCAGACTCTCTCTACTCAGGACCTGATGCCAATAAGAAAATCTGTCTGGCTGATTAGAGTAAGACTGTTGTAGACTCATTAATGTTGCTTTTCTGTTCCCCTCAGATAATAACAGCTGTGTGTGTGCCGTGTTTGGATCCAGTGTTACTTTACGTGAATATTTTAAGAATCCAGCTCTGGTCTTGGGTTCTGCTTGTGAGTTTGACAGTAAAACATCCACTTCAGTCACTGTCAGTAAGACGTTTATCCATTTCTCTCTCAGAATGTCCTGTAGTTTATCTCTGACTTCTGACACAGCCGCTGTCACTTCCTCGAAGTACTGCAGAGGACGAACTTTGGTGCTAGATAACTGTGAGGATTGACTGAGATGGGAGAGCGAGGAATCATTTTGTAGAAACTGGTTGTGATCCTCTGTGTGTGAGAGCTGCTGCAGCTCAGTGTCGTTCCTCTTCAGCTCAGAGATCTCCTGCTCCAGCTTCTCCTGAAGCTCTTTGACTCGACTCACTTCAGTTCTCTGCTGGGATCTGACCTGCTGCTTCACATCGGAGCTTCTTTTCTCCATGAGATGGATCAGCTCAGTGAAGGTCTTCCTATTGTCCCCCACTGCTTTATCAGCAGAGAGATTGATGTTCTCCACCTCCTGTTGAAGCAGCTTCACATCTTTCTCTCTGTGCTGGATTCTCTGCTGGATGTTTAGTCGACTCACCTCCAGCTCTCTCTGCCTCTCAGTCCTTTCTGCTGCAGCTGAGACTGTGTCGTGGCCTTTATGTTCCTCCACAGAGCAGAGGTAACAGATACACTGCTGATCAGTACGGCAGAACATCTTCATCACCTCACCATGACGAGAGCAGATGTTCTCCTGGAGCTTGTTGGAGGGGTCCACCAGCTTGTGTTTCTCAAAGGCAGTGTTTTTAAAATGAGGCTGAAGGTGTTTCTCACAGTAAGAGACCAGACAGACCTTAAAGGCTCTCAGTGTCCTCCCAGTGCAGACATCACAGGACACATCTTCAGGTCCAGCATAGCAGTGATCAGCAGGAGCAGCTTGGAGTCCAGTCTTCTTCAGCTCCTCCACTAAATCTGCTAACATGGTGTTTTTTACCAGGACAGGCCTCGGTGTGAAGGTCTGCCTACACTGAGGGCAGCTGTGGAGTTTCTTCTTATCCCAGTGTGTTTTAATACAGTTCATGCAGTAGCTGTGTCCACAGGGAATAGTCACCGGATCCTTCAGTAGATCCAGACAGATGCAACAAGAACAGACTTCCTTGTCTAGTTTAAATATTTTCGGATCCATATCGACTGGTCACAGTGGCTTGACAGAGTTTCTCTAGAATGGCTTAACTCAAACTCTCTGCCTTTTGTTCCTGTTCATTTGCTGCTCTTCACTGAATGGGGCTGCAGAGTGGAGCTGGCTGTGTTTCACTGAAAGAAAAAGAGGGAGGAGTTAACAAGCTTTCATGTGATTGGACAGCAGTAAAGTGGGGTGGGTGGGGGCAGCTCTATGAGAGTAATGAAATTACACCATTGGTCGGTCGAGTTGGAGCTCCCCCCCTCATTGGCTGTTGCCATTTCAAAATAAAAAGGCGAGTTTCAGCTACACAAGTAAAAGTGCAAAAACATCAAAATATACTTAGAATACCAAAAGTAAAAGTACTCATTATGCAGAATGGCAGATTTCAAAATCATGAAATATAAGTATTGATGCATTAATGTATTCATCACTTAAATGTTGCACCTGTTAACGTGGAGGTAATTACTTTATATGTTGCCGGGTAGATTAACCTATAATAATATAATCATAATTTATCAGGGGAATTATTTTCTGTCTCCATAATCTAAATCTACAAAGTAACTTAAATACGCCAATGCAAATAAAATGAACATAAAAAGGGATAAAAGTCGACTGTATATTATAATACAGAAAATCCATATAACATGGACAAACCCCCTCCTCGTCTCCCAAACAATGTAAAGTTTCCTTATTACAAAGAATCCACTATGGATTCATTAGCATATATTTGAGCCGACTAGCCCGACGTACAAGCACAATAATGAACATTAAAGCTGCAAGCAGCATTGATCGGGCCCTCGCATCTTCACGCACGTCGAGGGTACTGGCAGGACTGTGGGTGACGCGGCCATGCATTTCTGTGAACATTATACAATGAGTGCACGAGTTAATCGGTATTTCCTGTGTCGACCAATGGCGTAGCCAGGTCATTTTGCCAGGTCATAAGCCTCCAATGTTTTGAGTGTACCTCCGAAAACAATCATAACTGTAAGCCTGTTAAAATCGACAAACTCAATGTGTGTGAACGCGCGTCAGTGTTGGTAACATAACTGACTGTCAAACTAAATGCAGGTTGTTTGTTTGTGCAGGTAGATCTGACAATCACTGCTGAGTGACTCAAAGCTGGAAGAGTCTTGGAGAAATAGGAGAATGTATACTTCCATGTGGAAAAAAAACTTTTTGTAAAGAATTAAATTTAAGCCAAAAGGTGAGCCAATGTAGAATAATCTATCATATAAATTAGGCTGGGTGCAGTTGGATTTTATTAAACAAACTTCCCGTTTCATGAAATTACTTTACATTAAGGCCTGGCTCCAAAATGAACAAAAACAATTCAATTTACTATTAATGAAAACTCCACATACAAGCGCGATTTGGAAACCATTTTTATCCAATTTCTGCTCTCCAAACATCTTAGTTTGCACATATTTAGATCAGAGAAGTCTTTTTCTGGTGGTGTGCCCACGAACCCGTTCAATGAGTTCAGTGTTTGAGCCGCTGTAATTATAGAATCCTGCTTACGGCCATGGTGGCCAGTAGGTGGCGCTATGACTGAGTTAATATTGGCATGCAGAAGTCCTAAAGTCATGACAGTCATCAAGCACGTCAAGTTTGGGACAGTTTTGACAAAGTACAGTCGAGTTACAACAGCTTGATGGATGATGGCGAACCATGTAAAATGGCCGCCACACCACATCCACGTCGTTCAATGAAACCTCAAGCTTTTAACCACTAAAGTCTTTAGACTGTTCTGACAAAATTCGAAGCTGATCTGATAAATTACCAAGGAGGAGTTTGTTAAAGTACAGCGCCTGCAAATGGCAAAAACGACACTAGAAATTCATACTAAATTCAAAATGGCGGACTTCCGGTTGGGTTTAGAGCAGGGGTCTCAAACTCAAGGCCCGCGGGCCGAATCCGGCCCGCCACGTCATTTTATGTGGCCCGCGAATCCACATAGTCGAAATTCTGAGATAGAAAGTCATAATTATGAGATACTTAAACACAGCAGTCATAGAAGCAGCTCTTTGGCTGGTTACTGTACATTTGACATGTAAATGTATTGTGAGTACATTGAAGACTAAACGTGGCTTTAAAACACATGAAATACTTCACGTGGGATTGTGCAAACGCACCCTCGAAAGGATTTTAAGCATTGAACAAAGTTATTGTAATAACTTGTGTTTGATATTTGTGTTTGATATTTTCTTTAATAGTTTGATCTTTGATAGAGTAATGTGGGTTTATTAACCCTAAATTAAAACGATTTTAGTTATAACAGAAATGTGCTGAAATATATTTTTACATTTATATACCTGCATGTACAATATTTTTACACTTGAATAAACAAGAGACAGTTATTTAACAATATGTTAGGAGTAGTTACATTTACAACCGGCCCTTTGTGGGCGACCATGATGCTGATGTGGGCCGGAGTGAAAATGAGTTTGAGACCCCTGGTTTAGAGGATGGCCCCAAGAGACTTATTTTTAAGTCCACGTGTGATACATCTGCTTACCAAATTTTGTAAATCTATGTGAAACATACCACGAGGGCTGCTTCGTCGAAATGTTGTAGGGGGCGCTATCGAGTCGATTTGTCACTCTGAAGAATAGTCACCGGATCCTTCAGGAGATGCAGACAGATGCAACAAGAGAAAAGTTCATCTGGACCAGAAGACTAACAGAAACAGAAGTCTGTGCTTCGACCAAAAGTCAAACTGTTCTTTTCGTCCCGTTAGAGCTGCTGCTCCTTCACGTGCTCCTTCACACTGATCTCACACACTTGCATGTCGGTGAAAAGGAGGAGGGAACAAACCGCCATGCGCGCATGCGTAACACTGCAGTTACACCATTGGTCGGTCGAGTTGCAGCTCCCCCTCTCCTCATTGGCTGTTGCTGTTTCAAAACGAAGCTGCTTGGCGTCTTTTTGCTTCCGCGATCAAGTCAGCTGATCCACTTCCTCAATGCGTGCGCGGTTTGTTTACTCTCCCTGCAGAGCTCGTGCACAGAAAGCCTCATTTTGAGACGTTCAGGGGCAGAATCAGAGAAGTGGAGCAATGCTTTGTTGTTATAGGGCCATTCTACCGAATTGGTTCAAAGTCAGGTTGGAAACATTTTAAAATGTTGTATGTTTTATTCCCAAAACTTTGTCCGTATATATATTGTACCATATCTAAAGTACACATATCGAGTAAAAGAACCGTCAATTTTTATATTGTATTTTCAGACTGTGTTGGAATGTTTTTCCTCTCCCAAAAATTGTCACTACCGAAACACAGTAATACACTATAGTAAAAGGTATTGTTATTAACCTGTTAAGATTGTGTTTCCTTCCCTTCTCCGAAGAGTATTTTTACAAATATTTCTTGAAGGTTTTCACAAGTAAATCAATAAAAATGAGATTTGTACCAAATTTCTAAGTTCAATTTATACAATTCATCAAAATCTAAATGCAATATTTCTTTGTAAAATGCATAATACTGATCATATTGATTCCAGAGTTGATGATTGATACAATTGGACATACATTAAACCAATCAGTATCATAACATTTTAGTTGATAACTCAATATACTTTATTTTTTACAAAACATCCAGTGTTGCGGTAATGACTGCACTGTTTCGGTTGTGACCACAGTATTTTGTTTGCAAGGTTGTGTCATATTTCCTCAACCTTATTGCTTAATCTTAACTCATAACATGCCTTAGGTTGGGAATATTACAAACACAAATGTTTTGTGGTCAATAGAATCATTTTATTTTTGAAGAAATAACAATTGTTCATCCAGAACCATTTAAAGTACAAACATTACTTATCAATGGAAAATTACCCAAGTGGGTAAGAAAACATTGACAAATAACTGATATTATGTTGTACTGTATGTTTAAGGGGGTTCAGTGTCAGACACCATCACAAATCCATTCACAAATTTAGTTTTTCACATACTGCGGTGAACACTCTTGGGCTGATCTGGACATGCCTCTGTGTGACGTTCTCTGGTGGAGGGATTAAGGTGACGACCTTGTCCACTGTGTACCAGATCTTGTCCTCTAGTCGCGGTCCTCTAGTCGCAGAGACTGGTCCACCGTGGAGAGACCCAGATCCTCCAGCAGAGACCGGTCCACCGTGGAGAGACCCAGATCCTCCAGCAGACACCGGTCCACCGTGGACAGACCCAGATCCTCCAGCAGAGACCGGTTCATCGTGGAGAGACCCAGATCCTCCAGCAGAGACCGGTCCACCGTGGAGAGACCCAGATTCTCCAGCAGAGACCGGTCCACCGTGGACAGACCCAGATTCTCCAGCAGAGACCGGTCCACCGTGGACAGACCCAGATCCTCCAGCAGAGACAGGTTCACCGTGGAGACACAGGAGATCCAGAACCAGGACTGAGAGGGGCCAGACCCTGTCAGACCCTGCTGCAGTAAAATGAGAGGTTTTCTAAAGGGAGTCTGGTGCTCAGACACTATATCAATTTTACAGAAGATAATATTAAATGTTAGAAGCACTTCCATATCACAGACAGCATTGCGACCAATGAAAACTGTTTATTGACAAATTATTTTATACAAAAGATGAAACAGGGCTGTACAGATATCTACCACTGAGGACTTTCTCTTGATAGTGTGTCTGACATTTTGGGAAGTCTTAATTAAAGGGAGGATTTTACAGTAAAATGATTTAAAAATTCAACATGTAGCTTCTGATCATTTTGGATCAATATCCCGATTGTCATATAAATTAATAAAATAAAACCGTAAAATAACACAGTAGCATTTGAAATATAAGAAGAGACATACACAAGCCAACAAACGTTTCGTATAAACCCCATAATGTATAAATGTCTGTTTTTAAATACACAAATATTTAAATTCAA